CCTCCATTCCGTTGGTCGGAGAGTGCCTACTCAGTGGGTGGAAGAGGGTAGCAGGGTTCTGACTCTTTCCCTTTTTTTAAAAAAGAAATAATAAAACTTCTCTTTGGCAGAGACTAAAAGTCTCTGTCTTGTGGGGAAACTCACTGTGTATATGAAAGGGGGAATCTGGTGAAAATTTTCTCAGACGTGACCCAAGAACCCCAACTGTGAACCCAACACCTCTCCAAAATATCACTCCTCACCAATGTCAATGTTATAAAAACAAGAAAAGTCAGAGAAACAGTCAGCCAGAGGCACAACAAAGAGAGTTGGCTGTAACTGAATGAGGCAATTTGGATTATGGAACATAAAATGTACATTAGGAAAAACTAATGAAATTAAGCACGGAGTTTGGTAATTGTGTCAACATTGCCTCATTAGCTGTAAAAAAAAAAAATACAACTGTATTCATGTAAGATGTTAACAAAGTGGAACAAAGTTGTTTTTTCGTGGAGCCGAGTTGTTTTCTCCTGCTTATGGCTTCAGTTTCGGTTTGATGGAATCAGGGGTACTGGTGTCAGGGCCATCTTGTTGTTTGTATGTGGGCTTCCCCATTCCTGGCCCCTGCATCGACCTTTCATACCAGCCTTTTGTTGAAAAGGGGAAATGGTTCTTTTTTGGCTACTTCCTGCTGGACAGGGGCGAAGACCATGGTGGGGGCTCAGGCCTGGTTATGAGACAGTCTTTGCAGGGACGCGAGGATATGGGTGGAGAAGGAGTTGGTTAAAGGTGGTATGGGACAGTTCTTGGATCCGGTGTTGGATGAAATGCAGTAAGCATGGGGCAAACAGAAAAAATGAGGAGATTAGGATAAGAAGCCCTATGAGTGGTAATACCTGGTCCGAGGCTGTGCTGATCTGGAATTGCTGGGCATAGACAGAAGAACTGGAAGTGGCTTGAAGAGATGGGATTAGAAACAGAGGAAGGAGAGGGGCCTCCCCGGTGGCGCAGTGGTTGACAGTTGAGCGCTGGGTTGTGAAGCTGCCCACAGCCTCTACAGCACCGGTTCAATCCCTGGCCTCAAGGCGAGGGTCCCACATGGCGGGCAGACCTCTCCTGCCGCCCACTGCTCCCCTTAGCAGTGTGCTTCGTCAAGTCTGCCTGTTCTGCTCTTCTCCTGTGCTTCTGACTGTACCCAGTGCTTGCATAAATAAATCTTTAAAAAAAAGAAACAGAGGAAGGAGAATCAGAGGGCCTCTACTCTATAGGCTGAGTGGGATGTGGACCAGGGATGCATTGATGCAAACCCGAGTTGGGCCCATGTGCTTGTATACATACTGCTTGTCCACAGGGACCACTTTGACCCTGGACAGCTGATGCCTTGACAGCCATTGGTGTAGTCAGGATGATGGTGTGGACCCATCCACTTTGGCGGAAGTGGTTTTGGAGAGATGGCTTTCAGAAGAACCTGGTCTCCAGGGCACAGCAGGTTGACAGGTGCATAAGAGGACGGAAGCACAGGTTGTGGCAGACAACGGTCTGGGTGTTCTTGGAGCAGCTGTCTGAGCAAAGAGAAGTATGGAAAATATCCAGCCAATGGTGTTGGTTGGATGGGGAGCTCATGGTTAGTAAGAGGAGGTCTGCCATACATCCATTCAAGGGGGGTCATGAACAAGGGGCCATAGGGAGTGGCTCGGAGGTTCACTAAAGCCAGTGGGAGCAGCTCCACGCAGGATTTCCGCAGCTCAGTGGAGAGTTTGTTTAGGTGGTCTCTGGTAAGACCATTCACCCGTTCTACCTTACCAGAGGATTGCGGTCGGGAGGGAATGTGTAGTTTCCAGGTGATGCCCAGGGAGGAGACCTGTGGAGTAACCTTTGAGATAACGGCAGGTCCATTGTCCGACTGGTGATGGTGTCCACCATAGTAAGAAGAGGGTGTTATCTGCATTAGGGAGTGGAACACCCATGAGGCCTAGCAGGATGGAGAGTCGAGGATTGGGAGAGGGAGATGAGATAAGAGGGTCTTTGACAAAGAGAGTAGAATCTAACAGACAAGAGGGTGATGGAGGGGAGAGAGCCTGGTGAATGAGCAGGTCCTGGAGCCGATATGGAGAACTAACGTTTACAGGTTGGCCCAGTGTGGGTTTTAAGGCCTGTCTAGCAAGACGAGCAGCTGCTGCAAGTGCACGCAGGCAGGGCTGCCATCCTCTTACAGTGGGATCCATTTGTTTAGAGAAATAAGCAACTGCTCTCTGAACTGGCCTAGGTTGGCCCAGAACCCCTGGAGCAACACCCTGTTGCTCATCTGTCAGTAACAGGAATGGCTTTCCCAGGTCTGGGAGAGCGAAGGCTCATCTCAGACAGCTTTGTCTGGATAAAGCAGAGAAAACGAGGTGTAGAAACAAAGAAACACATCATCATGATCACTGGGCCTACTAGGGGCAGGATCCATGGCAGTAAGGGAGAGTTGGTCCACGTTTGGTTGTCCTGGCCCCAGCTTCGGCTGACAAAGTGTCAATCAGAGGGGGCTTTGCTGGTCAGATGAGCAAGCCCATGAATGTGTTGGAGGAGGGGGAGGCACCTGAGTACACACGATTTCTCACCAAAATCTCTCTCTCCGACCTTCAACACTTTCTTTTGCTTGCTTTCATACTAATGCCATTTCATTTTACCCATCTGGCTTTACATTATCTTAAGGCCCTTCAGAATATCCCTCTTCCATACATTTCTTTTTTCAAACACACATACCTCACCTCACTTGCATTTACCAGACTTAGCAAACCTTAGTTTTAGAAGGGAATTGAACACCATCTAAACAATGATGAAAAAACACAAATTTAAGGTAGACAGCCCCTGTAGCTTTTCCTTCCTGTCCCCAGTGATTTAGTTGGCAGAGAATGGTATCCAAAGCCTGCATCTGTTGGGCGATATTAATGTTTCCAATTTGGCTAAGGTCACCCTGCAGGGTTTGAATCCAGGGAGGAGGAGGGGTGGGTGGCCGTCTGGAGAGGATTTTTAAAAGGAGAAATTCCAGCTGGACTGACACTGTAAGAATCCCAAGCTGCAAAATCCCTCCTGCACATACTCCATGACAAGCTGCAGCTTCGGCCCAGGGGACACTGGACACCTAGGTGTGCTCGCTGCGGGACTGAGATTGATCATAGCCTAGGGCTTCCTGGAGCAGGAAGATGTGCGGATTTTCCAGCTGAGCAGGTCGCGGTGGAGTAGGGCTGCTCTGTAAATAACCTCTGCCCACCTTGGAGAGTCCCGTTTGGATTCTAATATACTGGTCCCCAAGTCATTCTTAAGGGGAGCTAGAGAGCCTCTCTATCTGCTCCTTGCAATCTGCACATTTTACCACCTGGAGCCAAGCCTTTGCAAGAGCTCCTGCATCCTCTGCACCATCCATGTGCTCAGGGGTGAGCAGCAGGTCTCTCCCACCAAGGGGCAGAACCTAAGATTGGGAGAGAGGTCCAGGTTTCCCCGCCTCTGGCCCTGGTGCCTCTAGAGGCTCTGCCCACACAGCCCCACACCCCTCTCCTGGTCCTGTACCTGCTCGGATCTCCCCAACCCCTCCACACCCCACCGCTCAACCGCTCTGCTCCCTTCCAGGTGCTTCACCAGTTTCGTTGCCTGCCTGGCCCTTCACCTGCTCTGCTCCAAGGACATCTGTGCTCCAGGGACATCTGTGCTGCCCAGACTTCGGTGCTGCAGTCCTGTGAGTCTCATGCTGCTCCTGGCCCCTGTGACTGGGCCCAGCCCCTGAGCCTCTCCAGAGCCTCAACCTTCCCTGCTGTAGTCCTGTTCCCCATGGGCACTGAATGGTTGTGCTTTGGGGGTGGGGGTCTTCTGCCAGGTATGGCGCTATTTTTAATCTTTGTTGCTCTCCAGTTCCAATGCTGCACAGCAGCAACAAAATTCCAGGATAATTTCTAATACTCTATCTCTGGCCCTGATGATTGCTGAAGGGTCACTGCACTGCTAGGCCAGCCACGTCTTGGGGGAGGTCTTAGGGTGGTACTGGAGGGCTGGGGAGCTGGACAGATTGAGTTGGCCCTGCTTTCCTGGTCCCTCTCCAGCTGGGGGCCTGTCTCAGTGGTGCTGCCATGCTCCCCAGCGTCCTCCAGCTGGAGGACTGACACCGCGGTGCTGCTGTGCTCCCTGGTGTCCTCCTGCTGGGGTCAGGCCACAGAGGTGCTGGTGTCCCCCCAGGCGTCCTCCAGCTCTGGGCCTAGCACAGAGGGTCTGCCCTTTGGGGTGTCCTCTAGCAGGGGGCCTGGCCCTGCAGCGGTGGTGTGCTTCTGGGCATCCTCCAGCTCAGTGACCTGGCGGAGATGACCCTGTTGCCCGGGGTGGCATCCTTTCCCCTCTTTCGGACTTCCGGCTTTCACAGGATACCTGGCCTTCGGGTATTCCCCAAAACCTCCGGCTGCGGGATGGGGGCGGGTGGGCACTGGGTGCTTTCGCAGGATAAATGGCTTGTGGTATTCCCCGAAACCCGGGTCACCAGGCTCCCGGAAGGTGACGCACTTCGGCACCTGGAATGTGACGCGCCTGGGCCGCTCCTTGCCCTCCTCCTCATAGTCCTCCTCCTCCTCCTGCTTCCTGGAGCGGAGGATCAGGTAGGTGGCCATGACCTCGTCGTACTTGTCAGCGTCAATGGCCTCCCGAATTTCCGGCCTCTCGTAGCCCAGGCGCTCCATAGCTTTGGTTATGGCCGGGTCCTGGGGGCTGAGGGACGGCTCGCTGAAGGGCAGGAGTCCCTCGCTCGTTTCTGCTACCCAGGCGTGCTGCTGGATGCTCTCCAGGGGGCGGCGCCTCCAGGGGTCCTGTGCCATCATTTGGCCAGCAGGTCCCCGCCCTGGACCGTGAGATAGGAGGTCAGGTGGTCGTTCCCGCCCAGGACCCGCTCGCTGATAGCCCTGAGGCTGGGCCCCCTGAAGGGCAGTGTGCCGGTCACCATTTGGTAGGGCATGATGCCCAGGCTCCACACATCCACCTTGGGGTCGTTGTACCACTGGCCAAGGTAGACCTCAGTGGCCCTGTGTTCTGGGTGACAGCAGCACGTGCTCAGCGCCCGGTTGAAGCCCTGGACGCTGAGCCCGAAGTCTGCCAGCTTGACTTTTCCCTCTCGGGTCAGCACAACGTTCTTGGGGCCTTACATCCCGGTGCGCGATGCCTTTGGCATGGCAGTAGCTGAGGGCCGCGAGGATCTGCTGAAAGATCGGGCGGGCCTCGCTCTCCTCCAGGCGCCCACACTCGCTCAGGAAGTCCTGCAGGTCTTCCCTCTGCACGTACTCCATGACGAGCTGCAGCTCCTGCCTGGTGTCCACCACCTGGAAAAGCTCCACGATGTTCGGGTGATAAAGGGCCTTCATGCACCGCATATAGCGGGCCAGGAGGCGGAGGTCAGGCAGCTCAGACTTCCGGACGCCCCTGATGTGCACCTTCGTGCCCGTGAGCTCGTGCAGCGCCAGCGTCACCTTGGTGTGGGTGTCCCGCCCCAGCGCCTGAAATGCCTGGTAGCTTTTTGCTTTATGTCCCTGGGGAGTGAGGCGATTGCACATAGTGCCTATGCACTTGGACTATGCAGAGTACACTAAGCAGCCCTGACTGTGCTCACAGCCCTTGTACTACAGTCTCCGCTGACAACTGACTCTCCTATGATATTAACAAATGTACTAGTACTAATAGTACTCAAGTATTCACTAAACCTCACTAAACACTGACAATGCTAACTTAACTCAACCAGCAATACTAACCTCACTCAGCTTACTAGCAATACTAACTACAACACAAATAAATGAAACCACACAAACAAAAAATGACAAATGAGATGTAAATGTAAAAATATGATTAAAAACAAACTAAAAACCAACCACTAAATTTAAGAATAAAACAGAACAACAAAGACCAATAGAACAAACAACAGAACGAAAAACAATTAGAAACTAAAACCTGAAAAAACAAACAAACAAACAAACCAAAATAAAAACCCAGAGAAACGACAAAGGGGAAGAAAGAACAAATAACAAAACAAGAACAGAAGGGAAAATGGGCGAGACCACTCGAAAAATAAAAATCAAAAAACTAAAAACTGAAGTAAAAAAATAAAGAAAAAAAAGCCAATAACAAAACAATAAAGGAAAATAAAAAACAAAGAAATAAAAGGGAAAAGAAAAAGTAGAAAAAAAAACTATAAGAAATACAAAAAAAATCAAGGAAAATAAGGAAAAAAACAAAGAAAGAAAAATAAAATAACTAAAATAAATAACCTATAGAAATAAATAAATAAACCAATAAATAAACAAAATAGAACCAAATACCCCAAAACACGCTCTCACTGTCTCTCTCGTCGTCCGGAGTGCACAGGTCACTGTCCAGAGCTTCCCGGCTCCTGAGGACACAGGCGCAGTCCGGGCGGGCCTGATGCAGGCGGTGCCGGTGCCGTCACAAGGGCTCTTTGTGGCGTCAGAGCCACAGGCCACAGCCATTGGCAGAGGGAACCGCCAGCGGTTTCTCAGCCTTAACGAAAAAGCTGCCGCTTAACGACAACCCTTGGAATGCCCGAGAGGCCCTTTCATCTGTCCTGAGCAATCCCGGCCTGGGTTTTGGCTTTTCCAGGCGTCCCCATCCTGGCCCTGCCTTGTGCAGATGCTTTACTGTCGCGCTCACACTGTGGGGAGAACAGCAAACAGGGGGCGCAGGCGGTTGGGCGCGCGCTGGGGAGCTGTCCACAGCCTCTGCCGCGCCCGCGAGGGTCCACGTGGCGCGCAGACCCCTCCTGCCCCGCCCGCTGCTCCCCTCAGCAGTGGATTTCAGTCAGTCTGCCTGTTCTGTTCCAGGCTGTCTCTGGGGAATCCTCTCACCCTCCCGCGCATCTGGCCTGCACCCCGGTACTTGCATAAATAAATAAAATAAATCTTTAAAAAAAGGCAAAGTTACTACTGTTGGAGTGAACTAGTAAGGTTTTAATTCTAAAATTTTCAAGAGGTAATTTCAGATTTCTTTTTCAGCATGTCTTTCTTTGGGGGGCTATAATTGTGTCATGGAGACTAGTTTAGTAGAAAAATAACATTAAATAATAATACTATATACACAATAGTTCCTTTGAGAAGGAACAAACTACAAATACAATAGGTCATAACAATACCAATGTGCTTAAAAACTAAACAAAAATGTTAGGTAATTCAGAATACTTCGTTTTTTAGGTTGCTTTTAACACTTTTGCCAAAATTGATTTAATAGTGATCAATATCAGGAAGTATAAGTATCATTGTTTTAATTGTATATATATTACATATATCAATATGTGCACTTACAAATACATTAATAAATACATGAGGAAGGAGATTTAGAGAAGAGAGGTTAATCATTTTTTCCAAGGTTACCTATATATGATATTCACTCAAAAGAAACAATGACTAATAATTGAGAAACTACACTGTACTTTTGTAGAATTGATAGTGTTCTAGTGATCAAGATATAGAGAGAATGTTGTGATAAAACTGACTTCTCAGTGACAGGGGAAAAAAAGCAATATAAATAACTTTTAAAATAATCCAACAGAGAAATAACAAATGGTTATAGGATCTGTAAAAAGTATCGAAACAAACCAATTGAATTTTCAATGCCATTTAGGATAACATCAAAATATGAAACCCTTAAGGATATTTTTAATAAAATGTATGTATCTGTAAAGCTATGAAAACATTATTCTTTAATGGAAATTATAAGACTTCAATAAATGACAATATGAACTCTATTGACAGACCAGGATGCATACAGCAAAGTTTGGGAGAAAGCACAATTGCAGAGGGGAGCACAGAGAGGCAGAAAGGACTGAATCACCCTGCAGTAAGAAAAAGGAGGTCAGTGTTTCATGTGGACAAAGGAGAAGGAATTGTGAGACAAGGTCAAAGATATTCACAGAAACTAGTCACTCAGAACTTCCTAATTCAGGGGGATGGCCTGACCTTCATGCTAATTGTGAAAATGGAGAGAGGTGTTGGCGAGTGGAGTGAATTGAATAATTTGTGTTTGAGAAAAATCTCTTTGCATTGGGGAAACTAGATTGTAGGAGAACAAGATGCAACAGGGAAAAAACCGAGAAACTTGCAGTAGACAAAGAGAGAGGAGTGGGTCAGAGTGGTACTTTGCTTAGGATGTTAGCTAATAGGGCTGATTTGGATTAGTATAGAAAGTGAGAGAAACTCAGAAATTAAAGATGCTGCCAAACTTTCTATCCTGAGCAACTTGGTAGATGTAATTACTATTTGCTTTTTATTTTTTTTAAGTTTTATTTTTATTTGCTGAATTCAGAGAACAAAGAGTAGAGGTTTGGGTAGATGGAAGATTGGTGTAGTTGAAGAGGTTAGGTTCCATCTTCTTTTATAAGAAATCACACCACTCTATCTGACAAAGATTATTGATATAGAATGTTGTGGGGAAGAATCAAGGTGGAGGCCCTGTTGCAGGGGTGAAAGAGTTCACCAGAGACAGATGAGAACAGACCAGGTGAATTTATTGAAATACACTGCTAAAAGAAGCAGAGGGAGAAATAGGAGGGGTGTACTGTTCAGAATCTGGGTCCCAAGTCTCTATTTATACTCTAGACACCACTGACTGGTTAGGGTGACTAGTCTTGGGTGTGTCCTGACTGATGATCCGAATCAGCATAGAGGATCATCAGTTCTGGGCTTCACCAGCTTAAGGTCCATGTTTCCATGGCAGTTCCATCCACTCCCTTTATCATTCCAGCCTCCCATACTTGCCTGCTGGGTAAGGAGTGGGGACTTGGTTTTCAAATTCTCATACTTTGACAGACCAGAGGTGCAGGGGTGAAAAATTTCACCAGAGGCAGACTGGAGAACAGAAAAGGCACATTTGTTCAAATACACTGCTAAGAGAAGCAGCTGGGGAGATAGGAAAGATCTGCAAGTGAAGAAAGATTTGGGGCTCCCTTTTATAACTGGTTTTGTCATTTTTGCTTTGGGGAGTAAGTTTTGGGCTGGTTAGTGCAGGGGTGTCTGATCTTGGGGGGTTGATCTTTGACCCAGAATGTGTCCTGGCCTTGCCTCCACATTCCTGGTCAAAGGGATCCATCTTACGGTTTGGGACCCAGAGCAGCCTTATCAGTTCTCTCTGTGTTCAAGCCTCCCAAACCTTCCTGCTGGGCAGTGGGTGGGGTTTAATTTTAACCTTATTTAACGCTACCCCACCAGATACCATTTGGTTTCTGTTTTCCTACCACAGTGGATTCTTTCCTATATGTGATTTACATTCCCTCTTTCTGGTCTTCACCTGTCTGCAACTGTTAAATTCGGAAGTCTCTGGTGACAGAAACAATTCAAAGCATGCACGTTATGTCTTAACACTCTTATATCAATGTGTCAAGAAAATTACGAAAAAGGGAACCCCAAATCCCCAAAGGCTAAACACGGAAGCAATTCTACAATTTCTTAAGAGAGAATTTCTGACAATTAAATTCTAAGTTATGGTGAAATCAAAAGCAGCCAAAGGGGTGAATAGGGTTGATTTATGTTTTATTGCTTATTCCCTGTCAAAGCCATATGCTTACTTACCAAATATTAAAACTTGTGCCCATCAAATTATTAGCGGGAAAGGAAGTCCTGAGCTAATTCCACACAGGCTTTGTGGACTGTATGGAGATAATCCCTTGCTTTGGGTTGCCCAACTCCATCCAGAGTGATAATGGGCCAACATTCATCTCTGACTTTACTCATGCAGTAAGCAATGTGTTACAGATCAGCTGGACATTGCATGCTGCATGGAGACCACAGTCTTCTGGAAAAAATGAACCACACCTTAAAGAAAACCTTGGCAAAACTGTGCCAAGAACCACACCTTCGTTGGGACCAAGTACTATCCCTTGCCCTCCTCCAGATAAGAGTGGCACCTAGAAGTGGGCTACAATTAAACCCCTTTGAAACTGTGTTTGGAAGACCTTTCCAGGCCTCAGTTCGGAAAGGCAGTCCAGCAATAACACAAGATTGCCGCATCATACAATATGCGAAACATATCCAGGAGGTTCTGGCAGTAATTCACAACTTTGCAACCTCGAGGATCTCTATGCCTCCTGATCAACCATTGTATCCCTTCAGACCTCGAGAGCAGCAGGTCTTACTCAAGACTTGGCAGAGTGGGGATGCCAAAAACCAGCTGTCAGAAAAATGCACTGGTCCACATGACGTTTTGCTGAGCATACATACTTCTTTGAAACTTGCAGGCATAAAACCCTGGGTACATCATTCCGGAGTTAAGCAAGCACCAGAAGGAACTGACCCAGAGACGAAGTCCCACTGGTCTTGTGAACCCATTGAGGACTTGAGATGTTTATTTAAGAAAAAGACAAAAACTTGAATGTTACTGACTTCTTTTCCAGTTATTGTTGCAGGATGTCCAAAGATTCACTTTTCTGAATTTTTTTTTTTAAGATTTCTTTATTTATTTATACAAGCACTGGGTACAGTCAGAAGCGCGGGAGGGTGAGAGAATTCACCAGAGCCAGAGCAGGGAACAGAACAGGCAGATTGATGAAATAAACTGCTGAGGGGAGCAGCGGGTGCGGCAGGAGAGGTCTGTTGTGCCATGTGGGACCCTCGCCAGGAGCCGGGCATTGAACCGGCGCGGCAGAGGCTGCGGGCAGCCCCACAGTCCAGCGTCAACCGCTGTGCCACCAGGGGAGGCCCGGATTCACTTTTCTGAAGAAACCCTAAGATGACTAACATGCTCAAACCAATTTTCCTTTCAAAATTTAGGAGATGTGAAATAACATCTAGAATCACGCACATGCTGGCAGTATTTTTTTTTTTTTACACAGAAAGGCTTTCAATCTTGATTTTGGTATTGCCTTTTAACTTTTTGCTTTTTTTTTTAACTTCAAGGTTTATTTTCTGCTTGTTTTTGTTACTTTGGCCTATGAGTGAAACTGCAGTTGTATAAGATACCCCACGCGTGATAAATCGTTACTAAAGAGCTCTTTGTGTCTATATGTTGTATGTCTGTATGTGCTTTCCTTGTGTCCTTGTCTTAGCCTCTAGTGGTTGACAAATTGGTATGCATAGTGCCTATAGACAGTGAAAAAAAAGTCTCCAGTTATGAGGAAAAGCTAAAGGTTATGGTTTGATTGTCAACATTGTACTACTGAACTAAGCCGGTGCCTTCATAGAGATTGAATATTGTTGTTTCTGCTGTTTTCTGATATTTATGGCAAAGCTTCCCAGAAATCTAAATTCAAGTACAAATTTGGTAGCCTGTCATTTGGCCGATGCAAGGAAATTTTGTGGAACCTCAGTAGAGCTCCTGAGACACTCCACAAAGTTTCTCCCTTTCCTCCTGGGAAAGGCATTAGATGAATTTGTCCTATTTTGCTTACCTAGTAGAGAAAACTAGAAGGGAAGCATTGTCACTTGGGAAAATGGGTAACACCTTGACCTGATTATGTATGTAAATTGTTAATGGTGATTGTCGCCTTGTAATATTGTATACTTCAATTGTTTATCGACAGAAATTGTTTCTGGAGAAAATAGTGGTAAAAGGCCTCAACGGATTCCTAGTGATGGAATTGTTGAGTGTAAAAATTTCCTACAAAGGACTGAATAGATCTGGAGATTCTCCTGAGTTTTACTAGGTTTTGACATAATACTGGTAAAATTTTTTTTGCCTTTCGTTCTGAATCCACAAAAATT